ATTTACTTCTCTCTCTCTCTCTCTATCCCTTCGAAGAAAATAATCGATGGACAGAATCGATCCAATTTAAATTGAAACGGGATCACGGGACGAGAGAATTCTCGACGAGAGACACAGATCGATGAATTTAACGTGACGACGCGCGTCTTCCTCGTCTCGATCACCACCTGTGACAGGGGAGGAGGTTTCAGGAAGACATTAAACGAGGATTATAAATATCGGGAAAGGAATACAAGGATGACAAGGGACGTGGAATCGTAGAGAGAGAGAGAAAAAAAGAAAAAACGATTTGATGGAAAACCGATACCCAATAGTCATCCCCTACTGACCTAGAACTCCCTCCTCCTCGTCTGTTCAACTTTTGTTCAGTGCATTGAAATAGTTTAGGAAAAATAGTGTAAAAATTCCTATTCGGTCGGCGGTGGGCAGGGAACAATATCTCTTCGAGCCCATTCTTCCGCCGACTTCTTTTCGCCCCTCTTCTCGTTCAACTTGGTCCAAGTTTTAACTCCGTTCCCCGATACAAAACGAGAGTTTCGCAACCGAGGGAAACTAATTAACCGTCCCGAACAAATGATCCATTCGCGAGGCATCCCTGGTGGGGAGGCTTCGTTCTCTCCGTTGAAGCGCCAATTGGAATAGCCGCGTCGTTTCGATATCCTGAATGAAGTACAATACAGAGAATCGTTACACAGTTATTGTTGTGTGACTGGATCGCGTTTATTAATTAATTAATCGAGAAACGAAACGATTTCCCTTCGACTTGTGGGACGCAACAAGAACAAAAAACGCGCGCAACGGATTAATTAATCAGACGGATAGAAAGATCGAGGATTGAATTCATTTCCTCTCGTTCGTTAATATCGATTTTCCGTTGGAAGGTAATTAATCATGCCGGTCGTGCCAGCCGAGGGTGCCGGCCAACTCGAGGACCTTGACGAGCCTCCAGAGCCCCGTGTCCGCGGAGGGAGCGGAAGGGCCAGCCTTATGAAACCCCTGGTCGTCCTCGCCCTTCCTGGCATGTATCTTTTCTACAAGTACAGCCAGTACAGGAGGGAGCAGCGCGAGTTGTCGCGGAGGCGGGTCACCGAGAGGGAGCTTCAACATCTTCATCACAAGATCGTGAGTATATATATATAAATATATTTCTTTCTTTCTTTTTGTCCCTTGAAATTTGTATTAATAGCTTGAAAGGAGAGAAGAAAGCAGCAAAAATGTGCTCGAGAAAGATCGACAATTCGAGTTGCTTGGACGGTTGGTTTATGATAATTTAAAATTGATGATACAAACGAAATATGGATTACGTTTCCAAAGAAAGATACTCGATGTGCAATGTACTCGTAGCGTAAAAAAATTGCGTGAAATTTGGAGAGAAGAAAATTCTCGATAAATAAAAGAGGGGATCGCTGCGAGAATTGAAGGAAATTCAGTATGTTAAAAAAAGTAGAGGGAAGATTTCGAAACGTAAACGACTTTTCGATTCCACCTGTTGTGCGTCGCTTTTCCACGATTCTGTTGTCCGTACGAAAGAATCGTGGCCCGATCTCAACGTTTAAAATAGCACAGACCTCTCTCGCCCGCGTTCATTACGTTTTCATCGAGTTTCCGAGAACTCGGCCAATCTTCCCTAAATACTCGGCCGGCGCTGTTCTCGTCGATTCTCGTTTTTCAATGGACGAGGATGCCCCTTTGTCTACTATAATAATAATAATAATAATCGTGTTCCATCGTATTAACGAGTTTGCGGCCCGTTCCCACGATGATTAGCCGGGGATGACAGGGGTAGGTAAACACACGATATCCGAGAAAGTAGACGCGAAAGGATGGGACTAGGGAAACGAGGATGGAAGGGGTTCAATTACCCGAGGTTAACACGATCATCGCTCGGTGGAAAGTCTCTGTAACAGCTCGAAAATGCTAAAACAATTTATATGTATATACTTGGGATCGTATCGAGTGCCTTGCCTTGACTTCTCTATACACTTGTGTACACTCCTCGTATTCTTCGCCGATAATTTTGGATCGTTGATAAAATTTGCAATCGCAAAGGATCTGTGATAAACATCTGGAAGGAAAGAGTTGTATCGAGAATTCGATCGAGCTCGTTTCGGGGTAAAAATTGATCGATTCCTTCCATCGAAAGGAAAAAAAAAAAAGTAGTTAAATAAATATCGATTTATTAATTTCAACTCGAATCGAAATACAACTTCTTCCTCTCTCTTTTTTTTTTTTTTAAAGAATCGGTGGGACTTGATCTCGCCCTCTTGAACCCACGCCCAATAGCTTTCCTTCGCGAGGCTAATTTATTCCCCCCTGTGTTCTAATAGCCGAATAAAGTTTCTACATCCGTGGACAATTATCGGAGAGGGGGTCACCTTCGAAAATTGCCTCGATCCAACGGGTGGTGGTAGTGGGTCACTCGCAGATTTGGCAGTGTTGGCGGGGAATGAAAATGGGGAAAAAGTATGGCACCCTGTCAGGATGGCTGGCAACCGACGATATTCACGGATTCGGCTAGCCTCGGTTATACTCGGTATTCGGCCAACGGTATTTCTGCCCCCGGAATCTCTCCTCGAATCCATTTAACCACACCGTCACCGCTCTGATTTACGACCTACCTCGTCCCTCCCTTATCAGAACGCAACGATACGATAGGAATATCCGATCCGGGAATATTATCCGCCCGATTTAACCCGATAGAATGGTGGTAGAAAGGAATTGTTGAGGTTGGAAGAAAGGGGATGCACCACGCCCGAAACTCGGTCACGAAACCGAAGCTTTGGACCCGCGTACACTCGCGTGCCGGTAAACGACGATCGAGGAGGCCTTGGAATTTTTCGAGCTTATCGAGCGATATTCGGTTAACCGCCACCCTATATAGCGGCCCACGGTATCATTAATGACTGCGTCGAATTAGATTATCGAATGGAATAATGGAGGAAACGGAGATTCGAAATAAGTCGCGTGCTTGGAAAGCGAAGACTCGAGCTCGTAGTAGGCATCGTTTTGTTGAGAAAAATCGGGAGAGATAATAATCTTGCGATCGTCCTCGAGTTCGCATCGTTTTGATGGAAACCTCAACCTTGACACGCGCGTCCACAAGTGGATAAATGAAAAACTTGCGGCAAAGTTCGAGAGTCTTTGTTGCTGTGCTTCGTAATTCAACGGCGGCTTACACGTCGTGGCAGATAAGGTGCACGCCAACTTTGCGTTAAGATCGCGGGATCGTGTACGTGCCGTATTCGTTTTGGTCTGGCGGAATGCCGTTGCCACGTGGAGAAAAAAAAAAAAAAAGAAGAAGAAACGAAGGAAAACATTTTTCCATACCATTGGATCGATTATTCGCCGATTTCTTTCTCTCTTTCTTTCTGTACTTTTCATTTCCGTTTCTTTCGTTTAGTCGAGTTTCTCCAAGTTCTCGATGTCACGAACTCGAGATATACTCGATATAGAAGGAAATGTTTCGCACTCCTGCTTTCGTTCCGACGAAACAAAAAAAACTTTCACGTCGAGGCCTTTAAATCCAACGTCATCATCTTTTCCGCAAGTGCCGTTTATGGATACTCTTGGACCGTGGACAAATCGTCAAGAGACGTTAAGATACATTTTTTATAAGCGAAAAATTTACCCTCGTGCCGAGGTTTCGATCGCGTTCCCTTCGTTCATTCGTGTTATTATTCGGCGACGAAATAGAAATTTTCTTAATTAACGTATATCGTAGAAAGTGCGATATACAACGGCACACGTATTTTTAGAATCGCAAGAAAATTGGAAGCGAGCCGGTTTCAAGAGCGATTCTATTGCCTTACCTTATCTCTTCCACTACGTAACGCACGGGTGACGCCAATGAACTCCCTTTGTGACAATGAACCGGTGTATAGTATCGTGCACGTGTGGGTTGTGCCATTTTTAGAGCGCTTTCGTGTTCATTTCCACGAATGAAACCAAGTTAATTAAGAAGAGTGAAGCGAACGGAGAAGGAAAAAGAAAGAAAGAAAGAAAGAAAGAAAAAGAGGGAGGAATACACCGATGACCGAGTGGCCAATGACCTGAAAGCAGTCCAGCTTTAAGGGTTGATAATACCATTAGACCGACCGCACGAACCCCCATAATGCGCAGACCTTAGAAATGCCGATCGATGCAGCTTTCTGCTTCTGTTAGATTACACGAGGCTTGTTCACTTTCCAGACACAAGTTTCGAGGATTATCTCTCCATAACCAATTGGCGTAAACGCGTATTTTTCTTTCTTTCTTTCTTTCTCTCTCTTTTTTTTTTAATTTGGTTTCGAAAAAATCGAAAATAGATTCTTTTTTTTTTTTTTCTTTCCTCTCCTCTTTTGATCGAACGAACGAGTCGTTTCTTTTGATATTTTCCCGAGAAGTAAGATTAAGAGCGAAGTAATATCGATCGATTAAAGTGTCATGCACTTTCGAGAGCGTCTCAAAAATTTCTCTCTTGCATTTTTTTCTTGGCTTGCCGTCTGGCCTATTGTTTTAAAGCGATGACCAACCAAGATCTTTTATTGTATTCCAACCAGGCTGAAACACACTCGAGATTGTTTGGGAAGAAAAACTGTTGCTCGGACGTCCCGAAGCTGCATTTTCTCGATACTCGTTGAACATCGCATGAGTTTTCGCCCCACCTTCGAATCGAGCATCTCGAATTCCAAGCGTTCCCTCTTCCAAGATTAATTTTCACGCCCTTCCTCTCTGTTATATTCCTCTTGTTACAATTTTTTTTTTTTTTAACTCGCAAACGTTCGAAAATCACAGATATAGATATTTCAAATTTTTCCAGATCGTCTCTTCTAAATTTCAACATTTTTCCTTTTTTTCGTCGTTTCCATCGTGATGGAACACGATGGTTCGATGGTTGAATATTTTACGAGCCTAATTACAGCCGGATCCACCCCTTCAGCTTCAAGAACAGCCTCTCGGCCGTACACTTGCACGGTTGAAGTAATCTTAAAAATTAACGACGTTGTTGCAAAGAATGTTCGCCATTTGTCTCTCCTGCTTGCCCTCTCCACCGCTGTGAGGCGATAACGCTGCCAGACACGTAACAATGATAACTCCGATTACGATCATCCGAATCTCAAAGTTACGTTCAGGATAACGCGTAACTTTTTCTAACTCTACTCGTCTCTGTTGAATTTTAACGACGAGAAGATTAAAAGAAAGAAACGTGAGAAAAATGTCTCGCTGGGCGGGATTATCGAATGTTAAGAACAATCAATCGCATTTTCTCTCGTTGCCAATTTTTCAGCTCTCTGTTAAAGCGAGAAAGGGAAGAAAGCTTGGATGGTCGAGGACGAATCTCGAAGAACATTCGGTAAAAATCTGAACGCGAAGAAGATCGCAAAGATCGTTCAAGGATATCCGATCGAAACCGTACAATTTCACTGGACATGACTTGATCTCCTTCTTAACTTGTTTAAACTCGGTTGTAATCTGATTGAAATTTCTTTCGCCAATGGTTCAACTTAAATAATTTCCTCCTTTCCTTCTTCCATTTCCTCTAAATCGCGAATTTTTTAAATAGATCCTCAAGCCCTGTTTTAAAAGACACGAAAAAAGATAAAGTCGATAATTTGGATAAAACGAATGCGCATCGTGTAAATGGAAGCTGGTTGAAGGCGTAATTCGGTGCTTCCCTGATAACGATACACCCCGTTGCCATTAATGGCAACGCGTAGTTGCAGCGTACGAGTGGATTCCCCCATTGTCCGGCCGCAACGAGGGGATGAATGAGACTGTATGCATCGCGCATAATTCCTCCGCGCGTAATGGAAGGAAAGTGGAGAGGAAAATGGAACTTGGAGGCGAAAAGCACGGCGAAGAAACGAAGGGAGAGGGGAAAAAAACGGCGATTATTCCGAGCGGCGCAATTTCTGAGGCGGAGTGGAAACGAATGGAAGATATCGAAAACCGATTCGAATTAACTCCAATCTGGTTTGGAGGGAGATACAAGCTAGGAAAAGAGGAGAAGAGAAAAAAGAAAAGAAAAGGCCGAACGAGAGAATCCCTCGAATCGGAAATTTTGTATCCCGCCGCGAGTAGTTCGACGCCTGTCGATGACTAATGAAAAGGGAAGAGCAGAATTGGGGTGGAAGAAAGATGGAAGGTGGGAACAATTGAAACGAAGAGCTTAATTACCCCGGGGCGGGATTCTGGACGAGCGCAAAAATAGAATGGCCGTGTGATACTTTCGCTCGGGCTTAACGAGGTTCCGCGCCTCCGCGCACGAGGGCGCCGTTTTTCCTCCTTCCCCATCGACTCAATTCACCGAGTTTTCGGATCGAATTCGAAGAAATCCTCCCCCAAGGTCCGTTTAACCGTGGAACGAAACCAACGGTTCAGCTCTGAGAGAGGGTTAACAAGTCTCCGAGGAAGTCTGTCTCCGCTCCATAAACGTTCGTCTCTCTTCCAACCAGTGATGAGCGCGAATACTGTAGCTCGAACACTGATGGAGGCAACGCGTTGAATATTGGACAAGTTTATCTGAGGAATAAAAGAGAAGAGGAGGGACGAGTGGTGGCGCGTGACGAAGGATCGCGTCATTTATGGAAGGCGTTAATGAGGCGTTTACCGCCTCGGGCGTCACTGCCGTCCCCCCGCGGAAATAATCGCGTGACGTCATCCGCGCACACGTCGCAATTCCGACCTATTCCCGACGGTGTACGTTTTCATTAATATTTTTCACACAATCGATCCTCGATCGATACGAATCGAGTGAAAACGATGATTACGATTTACGATGGATTTCGAACAAGTAGCAGAATTCTCAAGAATACTCGTTGAAAGAGTTACACGAGTGCAATGTTGGTTAAAGAGGGGTTGACAACCTTTTGGAGAAGGAACAACAACATTTTGCACAAGTGCACGTACGAAATGAAAAGTAATACGGCGAGAGAAGGATTGGTGTGATTGCTGCGTTGGTAATCCGAAGCAAGGCGAGAACAAAGGGCGAATGAAAGGGCGGAGGAGGAGGGCACAGACGTGTTTTCGCTTTCTACGGGGAACAATGCACCTTTATCGATGGCGGGGAGGGGAATATCGGGAAGGCCCGATTTGAATGCTGCCGAGACTGCGCCCAACTAGACTTTATTCGTTCCATCGATTTCGCCGCTGTCGCTGACAGGGGTAAAACCCGATAACGTTACGTCTCATTGGAGTCGATTCGGAGCGAGAAATTCCCGATTCAAATTCACACTTTCGTACGATAATCTCCATCTCTCGATCGGCCAACATGTTCTTTTAACAAGCGCCTCTTAAACCGAACGCGCGCGAACTCCGTTCCTTTATCGATCGCTTCGAATTTCCGTAAAATAAGAAATAATTAAGCTGGAAATTCGAGCTTCTCTCGTTCCATTTTACGCGGCCTCGAAATAAATTTGATGAAATTATTAGGGAAGGGCCGGAAGCATAGGATTCAACGTGCGCGACATTTAGCCTCTCTGGGGGGATGTTTCGTTAAAAGTGGAACGTGTTGCAAAACTACTATCTACCTACCTACCTACCTATTTACTACCACCTACCGGATTTACTCGTATATATTCTCTTTCGAGTCGTCGCCTCTCGTAAATAAGCCTCGAAAGCGAAATCCGTTTCGGAAAATTGAATTTCGAACGCGAGATCGAGCGTAGAAAAACGTTCCACGACCGGGTCTTGAGGGTAAAAAGTTTTCCTGATCCAAAATTCGTTCGAATATTTAACTTTAAAAAGATTTTCGAGAATATTCGTCATGGAAGAAGGAAATTTTGATCAACGGTGAACGGTAATCGGTTCTTCGCGCGAAAACTCGATTTTCCAGATACAAGGCAGGTGGGCCACGACACTCGTGGGATTTCCACGATACCGAGAGAGAGAGAAAGAGGGGCAGAGGAAACGTGGCGCGTTCGTGTCCAGCCGGTGGTCTTTCAAGACTAGGGTCATCTATAACCCTGGCCATAGGTCGTCGATCGTTATCGACCTGTCGGTGGTGAATTTTTTAACGCAGTTGCCGGGTTGATTGACCGCCGATCCCCTACCGTCTTCGAAGGTAAGGATTGAAAGATTTTGCGCGCGCACCACCGACTCGGCTCCATTGAAGGAAAGCTCATACGATTTCCCTCGTGGAATATTAAGAAAAAGGGAAAGAAAAAATTCACCCAAGATAACAAGAACAAACAAATAGGAAAGGAAGAGTGAGTTTACATAAATCGTTTCATCGATTCCACGAGGAATTGCATTTCTATTGTGTCTACGCGCCCCCAGTCTACCACTAGATTCATCTAAAGTGCGTCCTCGAGACTGAACCCTCGAGGAGATACACCCGATCGGATTCCTTTCAATTCGTGGTTCTTTTGCGCGAGGATTCCTCTCTTTCTCTCTTCTTCTTCTTCTTCTTTATTCGCGTTTTAAATCTCGTACACGCTAAATTTCGCAATACGATCGTTTCAGATCACGTAACTTTACTTGCAAAAGTCTCACCCTCCCCGCTTTTATCGACTTCTCGAGAGCACTACAACCACTCGAACTTTGGATCCGTTTCGAAAATACCGGATAGTAGCACCGATTGATTCGATTCGCTTGCGGGTAAACATTTGGATTTTAGTGGAGTGGCGTGTGGCATTTGTTCCAGATTTCTCAGTTTTTTCTTTTTTTTTTTTTTCGTTTTATCCATCGCTTCGAATGATACATTCTTCGAAAAATTGAATTGTTCTTGAGTATTCGAGCGCTATCTTCGGTTCGCCTCGACGTTTCATTATCGAAAAAGTGTACCACGGTTCCCTATTCTGGGCCTGGAAACGACGACTGCATCCACTTTGGATGCGAAACGGAGAGGTGGAGAAAGCTGCTGGCGATGAGCAAGGAGAAAAGCATTGTCTCGAGCGTAAATGCACGTCCACCATTGTGAACCACCCTCCTTGTATCGATAAAGGGGAAAAAAAAAAAAAAAGAACGAACAAAAAACGTAGCTCATAGTTTCATAGAAATA